ACTAACCAATATGTTATAAAATCCAAGTCGTAGATTAAAATAACTAAGACGTATTTCTAATATTACATATAATCAATTATTCAACGTTATGTAGAATGTTTTACTTAACCTTTTAATTAATTGATAATTAATTATTAGAAGCATGATTAGAGAGAAAAAGAGAAAATATATTCGACATCAAAATTATAGTAGATTTGCATCTAATTTATAAGCAGTAGGAAACTAATAAATAGATACATCGTGCTAAGAACACTTTTGAACGCACACAGTTACGCCTTGTTCCGGCTTTAAGACTAATTCTTATTCGCACTGCTATGAACACGTGATCGATGCAATTCAAGGTGATTGACCTGAAAACTAGCAAAATTTCAATACAGAAAGAACGTGCACTATTTTTATTAAGAACTAAAAGTCAAAAATAACAATTTAATACAGAATAATATAAAATAAAATAAAGTTTTATTAAACATAATCAATACAATGTATGTAATTTAAATCCTAGTAACTTTTTTTCGTAAGTCTACTGTTTCTTGACTCTAAAATTATTCCCTATTGTTAATTTTTCTTACTACACTTATTATTTCACCGTTTCAGCGTTCTTGTTACAATAAATAGTAGATTCAAGCTGTTGAGTAATTTATGTATTATTGGACCACGCTATGTACACACAAACCATTGACCTATTTTAAAGTATACACGTAACTACTTCCTATAATAAACCCTAATATCAGTTTTCACTGTCACAGATGCAAGCGTAGGAGAAAGCAACGATGAATGTGGAATTTCGTTGATATATTTATTCTGTCGAGTTTACCTCTTTTCATTCAGCTTTTTCAATGGAATATCTACGTCATACGTCGACATCCGGGAATACAGTTATAATTATGCATTCTCGAAAACAGATCACATGCCATTCGCATGAGTAGGAGCAACGCTGGAATGAAAAGTCGAATAGGTAAAATTAAAAATCATCTATGTCATCTAATTGCTCGATTGTCAACTGATAAATGTCTTCTTTTGTGGAAGCAACCTCTAGCGATCTTTTCTATTCGAGAGCCGGCCTGTGTACTAATTGATATATTAGCAAACAATACGTAATAATAGCCGAATGTTCATCTGTGCATCCTGAAAATGAATTTTATTCATGCCACGACTATAAAAGGTATCGATATTTAAATTCTCTTATCATTCATTTATTTTTCAATAATAGCTCCTAATCTATTTTAAATTGAAGACTTTTGTTAACCGTTAGTCCAGTTGCGTCAGCGTGAAAAGATGAATAACTTTCTTTGTGTAGAGAATTACAAAAGTGATTCAGAATTGACCTCTTGCTTTTTTTATTCTCCAGGAAACTGGGTAGATGCAGCCTGTACACGGAATAAAAATTCTAAAGCAAATAAACAAGACTACGTGCCACAGGCCACGTTCATTCCGGTATAAACGATGCCTCTGGAGTAAGTTTTACTTTTTCTCATGCATCGGTATCGTTTGCGTCAGATAACCGATTCAAATTTGGAAGGGTATCGTAAGTGACGCGCAACTACTGGTCGTGACGTCAATTTTTTTTATCACACTGTTATTGTAACTATTTTTAACCGCTGAATTGACACGCCGAATAACACATTGTACTGCTTTCACGTGATTTTCACACGGTTGCGGAATGCTTCAGAAATGTTATTTTATCATCATTGTGTTTCAATATTATTTTATCCCAAAGAAATTGTTTTTTTGCGGAAAAATGAGCCGCAATTTCATACAAAAGCAATGAAATCGAGTAGAGAACTGTAATAATATTGTGCGATTTACAATTGGTTATAGTATTTGTGATTTTAGAACACTCCCCACGATGCAGATCTTGGTTTGTAGGACTAGTTCATAAAAAGTATCGAATGGTCTTGCAGCAGCTGTGCAAATGTGAATGCTGGGCTGATGCAATCTACAGGTTTTTCCCTAAGAAAGACACGCATCTTTTCAATAGAAACAAACACTTTATGTTTGAAGAAATATCTTGCAGTTAATGGATCATTACCTAATTTCAGTATTCTTTTATAATTTCCAGTTTTTAATATTTATGATATACACATTTAATTATTAATTGCATATGATAACTTCTATGATGTGACTCCTATGTACTATGTAAAATATTATAAAATGTAAATTTATTCTTTCCTAAAATGATTTAACTTCTATTCTAAACTTCTATTTATGAATTTACTATTTAACCATGAGAAATGGACATTATATTTTGCATATCATAATCGTGGATATATTTTACATACTAAGTACATATTAAATTGTTAATAGTGCCAATATTGATATTTTGTATATATTAATTATTAAATTTATTCTTCACAGGAAAATACATTGTATCTCATAATATTTTATACATTCACCCAAACCATCGTACAAAAAATCTTTTAGAAATACAAGAGATATTTTACAAAAATGTACTTACTACAAATTGAAGACAATTTGGGAGATTTGGATTAAATAGGTTGAAATGTACGATTGATGAAGGAAGAGCGAGTTTCACCGAATATGCGTTGTTTCTACTTTTCGAAATCTCACAGTGAATCTGAATAACTGTCGCGCGCCACCGACTTTCACCTCGATAAGACTTTTACGTCAGCAGAACGTCTCTACAAGCTACGCTTGATACTCTTCGAAGCGGCAGAAAATTAAGTTATCGAGAAGCGCCCCGAATGACAGATTAAACATCGCATAAAACTTTGACCGAATAAAATGTCACGTGGGTGAAACTGTACCCATGATGGAACGCGTGTTAATTCCAATTCTGGATTCCAGTGAACTTTATCGCGTTGTCGCCTACGCAAAGGAAATTTTATGATTATATCACGACTGAAGTAATTAATACAAGAATTTATTTATAAGAAATGTAAATTTAACGGTGAGAGATGATTGAGTCTGTATTACGTGCAGATAAACTTTCTCACGATAATGCAGTAGATTCTATCTTGCAGCTTAAAAAAAAAGATGAAAATATGTCAGATTAGTTGTTAAGGATAATTGGGAATTATGATTACGGAGAGATAAGCATAGTAAGGTCTTAATAACAATTTGATTCATCGTTAGATATGCGTTACACATCGTTGAATGATTCATAAATCTTACAAGCCAATCCTAAACCTTGAATGAATGAAAGAAAAATGCATAACTAATGTACTATACAATAGCAAAGATCGCAAGAACCTCAGTGAGAATCACCGTGGAGTACCGTTTCTTATTTTCCGTACATGGTTATTTTTAATCATATTATTACACACTGTGGACAATGATCGTCGTTCATTTCACGTTGCAACGAGTATAATCGTCATCGCTCAATGCATTATATTTCTTTTTGCCTGTAGCTATTTCAATATTATCAATGTCATTCGTAAGTTGCATAAATTAAAAAAAGACTAGATAATGTAGATTTAAGGAAAATATCGTGAAGTTCAAAAATAGCACAGGAATAAAAATTAGAAACATAAGTAACATACAGAGTATAGAAAATCTATTTAATTCAATCAGGAAAACAAGAAATAAAGGAAATATAACACATGTATGCAAATTATTAAAATTTCTACTTAAAGTTGCTAGTAAAATACGACTTCAGGAAATTGACACGGATAAAAAGGCGATTATTTACAGCATGATAAGTACAGTTATCTTTTGATTTATTTGCAACCTTGCCACTGTAAGTAGCATCACTGAACATTTATAAGTAATAAAAAGTTTAAAATCCTTAACCATGCTATCTGAAAAAGATTTAACTTTATCTATGTCCATTTTAAAATAAACCACTTTAAACCGGTTAATATAAATCATACCCAAGCAAGTACTTATTCTGTAGACTATTTTTGCTTATTTTATTAATAAACTTGAATACTAGAATAGAAATTAATTTTCTTTCATTTCTAATAGCGTTTTAATTTAAGGGTATATAGTATCTTATAAAAATAAATTTTTAATTTTTAATATAAATATCTTTTGTGTCGTATCATTTTAATTTTTGACTATGATCATTTTAATTTTAACTCTTCACTTTGAAGTATTTAATCAGTTACTTATTCTGTGAATTAACTAAAATCTTATTTATAAGAAGGCATAGAAGGAGAAAACTAGCATGAATGATCATTTGAATGCAGTCTAAATATACGATGATAACAGTATCATTGTTATCACGAAATATATATTTGAGTTAATATTTATATCTCTAGATAGATAATATAACGATTAAAAAGAAATTTTCCTATAAAGAAAACTAATTCTCCGATTTATCAAACGATATTTGCTTTGTTACAGTAAACAAACTGATATTTTCTGATTTTCTGATAGCCAATAGAAAACTCGATTTTATTTTATAAAATTTTACAGATTTTTGTAGATGTATTTGAAATGGATATGTAACGGAAAAAATATACTTTTATTATGTAATATTCTATATGTAATTATTTGCAAACAAAAAATATGTCAAAAACTAATTATTGAATTAAACTTTCACGAAACACAAACGTATAATGATGCCCTACTTATGAATTTTGTCAGACATAAGAGAAACTTAACTGATACAAGCACATTAAATACGTAACTAAATCGAATTATTTCATTCGCTGTAATCACATTATTATTTTATAAACATAAATTATTATAGACAGAAAAGAAGGTAATTAATATTTATTTTTCAAATATTTAATATACGTATATACGCATTTCTATTTAATATACGTATTAATTTCTATTGTATTCTTTACTGTAACAAAATTATTTCGTAATGATATATAGAATTTATATTTGTATAAAATTTTTCGAATAATTCTAACCTGTAAAAAGGGGCTGTGACCCGAATAATGGCCCTATTCACGGCTCTGGCATTAACGTATATACACATGACAACTGCGCCAGTGAGAATCGGACGTCGACACGAAATGGAGGGGATAGCGTCAGAACGATAAAACTACATGTAACTCTCTCCGCCGCTCAGTATGCATTGAGAAAGCGAGAAGTAGTGAGTAATTGTTGTGTGTCGTCTTGTATTCGTATTGGCGCGGAAACAAAAAACCGATTATTAATTCGTTAACAAGAATTCAGCTCCACCAATCAAGATCTACGTTTTAACATCCTCTGCAGGGTAGTTTGTCCCTATGGCGCACGCGCAATATCGACTATTTTGCACTCTTCTTCAGTAGTTTTCAAAGCTATCGAATTGTCACTGCAAAATTACACAGTTCATAGGGATAGAGATAAACCACTTTAAACAGTATCGTCATAATATTCGGTGTTTTGATATCTCTTCTGATAAGACATATACATTAAATGAAAGTAATATAAAGAGTGAAAGAACGAAATCCATACTTTCGGAGAGAGCTCCTACTCGAAAGTACCACGTGAAGTAGCTTCGATTTATGTGATGTGAAAGAAGCGTCTCCTGCGCCTACGAACATTTGCAAGAATAATAGAACAAAAAGTAACATTAAAAGATTTGTTCAAGTGTAAAGGATTAATTCGAGAATTGTCGTTCAAAATTACGTTGAAATGAGCATCGGAAGCCACACCTAGGGTAACCGACAAACTCGTAAGCGTCGATTGAGGTTAGCTTGCTTCTAAATGATCATCGCGATTTAAGTGCGTCCGTCCGTGCGTAGCGAGTGACGATTTTATTTGTATACATTGTGCGTGCGTGTTCCGGAGGAGTGCCAGCTCGAAGAGAGGAATAATGTCAAGCAGTGTTTGCCACGCGCCCTTACCAGCACGAATGGAAGCATTCACCACGAGACTCTGTCTCCGTGCTGCTGACCAATATGAGCGGCTTCTGCAAGCTCACTTCAACAAGGTACGTGTGTCTAAAGCTATTTATTGGTTAGTTCAATCCATTAATTTTTTATGTTAACTTGCTATGAATACTTACGACAGCTAATCAAAATATAACGACTATAAACTTCGATGTTTGTAGGATTTTCTTGCTCGAAGTGTAATTGTATTATATTTTATGGTATAATGTTTTCTCGAATACTAGTGTTGCAAGAACGGTGGAATATAGTCATATAAAAACGTAATTGAAGATTTTGTGCGTTCTTTTTATCTCGCGTGCAAGGTTAGTTACGTTAAAGATTATAGTATCAAGATTCAGAAGAAACGTATTAATGCATAGGGTGTTTTATGTAATTTGAATAGACATTGCCGTTGAATGTATGAACCAATCGATAATGATAAAGACGTGCTATAAAAAATAAAAAAAATTACATCATTGCAATTTATTATGTAATTATATTTTTGAAATCGTTTTTGTTTTTGGTAATATAGCAGTTTTTTAAATAATTACTTCAAATATATTCTAGTTTTAAACTTGTACAATGTTATGCATATTTTTTTATATGTCTACTGTTCTATATTGTATGTTATAAATCATAGCTGAGCATGCATAATTTGCAGACATGTGCAAGTGGCATTATTTTTTAAAATTGCTCATTCTTGTTTCACAAATTATTTGTTCAGCTATAAAATTTGTTATTAATTAAATATATAATAATTTTTAAAATAATTAAATTTTCTGCTCTCGACAACAAAATATAATTTCTGTACTTTGCAACAAGAAACTATTTTTTCAATTTTTAATAGTTTCATTTATCAATTTCAAAATATTTATTATAAATATATAGTAAATTAAAACAACAACTTTTTCAGTTAATCCAAATTATGATACAACTGTAATATTTATAAGTTCCCCTATTTTTTCCATTTTTTTTTTTACTACAGATATTTTATAAAAATATTATCTTATTTCATGTTACTTTATAATTTTTACTTCATTCCACTTCAGATATAAAAATACCGAACAGACTGTAGTTATTTTAAATACATTCCTCGCCAAAGTTTCCGAATTAAATATTTAAGTTTTTGTTGAAAACTCTTATCTGCATTTGTAATAACAAAATCCGTATTTCTCTTAAATTTGAAAAAAGAAAAGGGACTTATTTTATGTTTTTAAAAATTTGTTCTATCTATACGTTGTCGACAATCGAGTTTAAAATTCTTGTTTCTTCTAATGGGAATTCAAACGAATTAAAATACTTGCCTACTTGTTTCGAGCAGAGATCGTTGACTCGCTGCACGATGCGGTTTGAACGAGTAATCATTGCGAAAATCGTACTCTTCGATAAAACATTGATCCGTATTCACGCAGTGTACCATTAACGGTAACATCGTTCTATTCTTCAATTCGCCGTTATATTTCCTTTTACGACATTTATTTGCATTAACGTCAATCCGTCTTTTTTTTTTCTTTTTTTCGAATAAATTCCAAATTTTCCACAATTTTATTTTTGCAATGTCAACAAAGATCAAAAGGATGACTAATTTTTAACACGATTTTAAAATTAAAATTGTATTTTCTTGGGAAAACGTAAATTTATAACTTTTTACAAATTTTTTAATTTAGTTAAAAACCTGTTTAAATAATCACTATAAATGAATAATTTGTTTCTTGTAAAATTTTATAGTAATAAAATATTCTAAATATTCTAAATATTCTAAAATTAAAATTGTATTTGTTCATGAAAACTTAAATTTATAACTTTTTACAAATTTTTTATTCTCATTAAAATTTAGTTTAAATAATCATTATAAATGGATAATTTGTTCTTAGTAAAATTTTATAGTAATAAAATATAATATCCTAGTGAGAAACAATAAAATAAAGAATATTTTTTCTTCATTTTCTAGTAACACAAAAGTAACGAAAATTTAAGATATGTTGTGATTTATAAATACTTATTACCAAATTATTGGTATTTATCTCGATTAAATTACCATAGACACCCTGTGACTAAGTTGGTAGCTTACAGTATTGTTTTGCTTTGTTTTATCTATACCTAGAATCTAGGGATATTATTACAAAATTATCTGCACAAAACATAACATTTCAATTAATACAAATTGAAATAACAATAGCATATGTACATTATATTATTCTTAATTCTGCTTTAAACACGAGTACAATTTATTTATTACAATTACATTTACACCTAGTTTATTTTACAAAATTCCTACGCATAGGAAAACAATCATTTTCCCTAGAAATAATTTGAACATTTTATTATCAACGACACGCTGTGAAAAACAAAATGATTATTTGAATTCTACTCGTTGGAAATTAGAATCGTAAACGATCAAAACATCTCTATTTGAACATGTTGTGACTTTTAATCGCGAGATGGCATGCACTCGCGTGCACCTGTTAATCGTATGCCTGCGTAAATAAAGCTACACCTCTGCTAAGAATAAAATTAGGCTCTGCGAACCGGTCTTGTATTTTTAGTACGCTGCTTTTTCGTGCAATTTCAAGTCACAGTCCTTCCATTAATTATATGTATATATATATAGTTATACCCGCTGTTTATATCCGTTTACATGGAGATATCGATAATGCTGAACGCCAACGGTTAAATCGATGCGAATCGAATGGCGCGCGGTTTCCGAGGGGGCGCCCGAATCGCTGGAGACTTGAAATTTGAGCAGGGTCGACCTTCGACGGAGGCAGATGTTGAATAAATTCAAGGCGTTGCACGATGACAAATTCAAGGATCGTTTTATATCTGGAACATGGTATGTGTTAAACCATTAACGTCGTGCAACTTATTCCACGGAGGATGTTAAAAAGGGAATGATAAAGGTGGTAATAAATTGGTACATTGAATGTGCGAACAACGTAATTCAGTGATATGTTGCATGCTCGTTTCGCAGGAACCTGTTGTTTTAGTATAAATCGTCCGATGAATTCGTTAAGCATCTTTCTGTGCCCTTATTATATATTTAAAATACGTGTTGTGACTCATGGCAATATTTTACAAGTTAAATTGAACGTGTAGAAGGAGTAAATCAAGAAGAAATACACGTGAACTACCTTCTTTTCTACTACATTGTCTTATTTAACGTAGTGATGTAAAATTGCTATATTTTAACACAGAAACGAGGCAAGAATCATAGTATTTACGTATAATACTAAATTTTTCTATTTTTACCACTGTAATTCTGATTCTATGATCATAATAGTTCGTAATATCGTAATATTTTCTGATGTAATAATTCATAATATTTTTAACTATAAATATTTTTTTCTGATAAAATTTATGATTAGATAGATTAAGTGATTAGATAAATTAAAGATTACAATTAGATAAAAATTACGATTAGATAAATTAAAGATTACAACTATTATATTAATATTAGAAATGTTATAACTGTTATAATTTATAATTTTATAAATATTACAAATACCATATTACGCTGACCAAATTTATGATAATTATAACCTCAAAATCTACGATTTATTTCGTACATTTTATTTCACAAAATTTTCATTCACTATTACAATTCTTCGTGTAATGAATTTTTAAAGATGGAAAATTTTATAGATGCTATTGCAGATACGCAGTATTTATTATGGTATATTTCATCGAAACAATTTGTAAGATCTAATGAATTTACATTCGTTAAACAACCTGTTATACTGATGCAAGTCGTTATACCGATGTATCATTGTAACGTGAAAAATAACGAAACACTCGAAACCATGTAGATACGTCTATGATGTAATTCCAAGAAAATATAAATTATTATTGGATACGTGATTTGTTGCAATTATAAGACACTGATAACTCATGCACGCTACTGTTAAAATAAGAAATAAAGCAACAAAAGAATGCAGCAAGATGTAATTGTTCTCATGAATATAAAATGCCTGGAGTAGTTATCTCTTTACGAGAAGCATAAATGTAATTTGATACATAGTACAGTATCCTTGCGGAATTGATAGTAACCATTTAATTCTGAAAAATCACGTTTCTAGATGATTTACGAGTACGTGGTAGGCATTAAACACGGAAGAAATCTCGCGTGCCCGGTATTGCATTTACACATAAATAAGTAGCCTGCGAGTATTCAGAAAAGTGAGAAAATGAAAGAGTGGATCGTAGCTGGTAATAATTCAAAATTATTTCATACGACTTTTATATTTCTATTATTGGTAATTGGTATCTGTTTTATCTTCTCATTTTTATTAATATTCGTGTAACTTTTTGTTGCAATATCATTGACACTTTTACGTAAGCAATATCAATCGTCATTTTACAACAAAATAATTTAACACGCCAACGCATTTAAGATTACAAACTTGCTTTTCTGGTTGCTGGCTAGTTGACATTAAACACATTCGTGCTCGTATACATGAATATGGTATAAAATAATTCCTATGACGCGAAAGATACGCTTCGTGTATTCCGCTGTCACAGGAAGTAGAACAAAGTGCATATCTACAGGATGATTTAAAAATAATAAAACGAGAACAGAAATGATTACACTGTCCGACGCGAATTTTACTCTGTAATATCCATTGGGTACCTTTGTAGAGTTTACTTTCCTGAACATGAATCCGTATTTAAGATTGCTCTATCGTGCTCAGTTTTCGAAAATGGTGAATTTTCTTGAAAGGACATGATATTTGATTAAAATGAAATATTACATAAAAAGTAAAAACGTTAGGAGATT